ATGTTGACGTCAGATTGGAAGAAAAGTCTAGGTATTTTTTTATATATTTTATCATCATACTTATTCAATCGTGAGTGCAATTTGTAGGTAACAATGTCATACAACGGTGATTATAAATATATGGTAATTAGTACATGGAAATTATAAAAAGATAGTTTTTCTTCAAAATTTCCAAAATCTGCAGGGTGTGCAAATACTGTCTTACTACAATGTACGGAGGCCAAAGTAATGTTTCTATTTAAACTAACAACGTGGATCAACCTTTATAAATCTAGTATAAAAATAAAGACATGGTAATTAGAAAAATTGAAAACCAAAGATATGGTAATTATACTCTTACGCAATTCATCGACGGTTACGCCAACGCAATAGACATCCACTTGCTAACAGGTCAAGGCACTAACTAAGGGCTAGCGCCACGTGCGGTAATGATGTGTATAATACTATTATTTAGGCTAGTATGACCACGAACAGAAAACGTAACGGTAATTAGGGCTTTAGCTCGGACAAGCGGTTTTTTAATTATAATTATTTACAGAATGGTTCTATTGAATAGATATTTTGCTAAGCATAAGACAATCTTATAAACTCTTTAAAATGTTGAATGGAGTAAATCAAATCTATACGACTTAAAAATTACAGCCAACTTTTAACATTAAGTCGGTGTGCGGACGCGTCACGGTAATTATAGAACAGAGGTTCATGAAATTAATTTAGCCACTTATACTTAAAATAGAGGCCTATGATTTTATGCACAACTGGATAGGGTTGTTAAGTAACATATAAAAATACTTGCATGTCTCTAATTTGTCATTTTTAAGGATTTAACAGCCCGGACACGTAAAAACTAGCTAATCTGAGAATGGCCGATTTGTAGAAACGACCTTGCGATGAACCTACTAATAATATCGTATTATTAGAAGCAAATGTACGACTCTGTCTCGGTGAATCGATTTACGTACCTAATGCTTGCTTCTTCGTATGATTATATTATTATTTGCTTGGCCATCAATTAAACATCGAAATGCGACAAATAGATCGACCAAGTTTTGTGGCAATGACCAGCCTCGGACGTTTACCTTTACAACAACTTGAATACAAGTCCACAACAAACACCCTGGTTTGTTTTAGTGAGATTATTTTAAAAATCGATTAACAGCTCTGTCCAAGGCCTCGCATTGTTAAAAACTTTCGTAATTTACTACAAACCAGTAGATTAGAACGTTGATAAATTAAGCCGTTACTTTACCTCTTAAATTAGACGTACCTAGAGTCAATCTGCAAACAATTCATTTATTTATAGCATTTATCTTAATTATTGATTGGTTCGACGTAAATAATTGTTTTTTAATTAATTAATTACTCACTTTAAACCTACATTTTGTCTTTGTTCTTTTGTGCTATCGATGCATTTTTCCTGACCTATGATAAATAAAGTATTAAAAAACAATCAATAACATTGATAGTAATCAATCGATGATATAACTATCATTCATCGTTGTCCAACGCGCAGATAGTCAGTTATAAATATTTATAACTGATAGGGCCAGACATTAGCCGTTAAACAGGTTTATTATTTGTCGGCTCTTGACTGACCAAGGACACACGGAAAACTGCCTAAGAAAATACGCGCTGGAATTTTAAAGGTTAATATAATAGTAATGATTTGGATCTCAACCCAAAATAGCTTTGTGCTGACGCCATTGCTAATACATTAGCGACCGGCAAGTTTAAAATGCGAGTTTAAATAGATCATTGACTATATCAGCCTTTACTCATACTTGTCAACCAACTAAAGTCAAGGGCTTGGGTCAAGGGCTGCAAGTTTATTTATATTTTTATACGACAGCCTAGCACTTACAAGTATTTCTGTTAAACACGCAGAACACGTGCATTGCATTACATTGTCCTTGTGGACCTACGCATCCAACGTAGCGCACTTACCTTTAATTTTAAAAAAGTTTTAACATCTACTTTGCGATACCGGAGTGATATTTTTTCAAAATTTAGGCCTTATACCGCTGTTTTTCTTTACGATGTTTGCGTAGGTGGAATACTTATTTGTAGAAGCCATATTGAAATAAATATCGATGAAGAATGTCTATATGTAAATATATTAAACAGACAACCTATAAAATAAATACAACCAACAAACACAACTTCTTACTCTGTTCTTACGTTCGTGGAGTACTTAAGCTTAAGTTTCATCTAGAAAAGCATCAAGTCAATTTTACTCGTATATGTAATTGTACCTTGGTCTGTCGGTCGGTTGGTCGGTCTTGTAGAGCTATCTAATAAGCAACTTTTGGTAGACTTTCTTCTTTCCTTTTTAATTTGTATGGAGTTATATTATTCACCAATTTTAAAAGTAAAAATCGCAATTCTGTGCCATCAAAAAGATACACTTAGTATAAATAAATTAAATTAGTCACGAAGAGTCGCGAGTTCAATTATGATGATCATAAACATCTTTGCGATAAACATGTTACTAATAAAATAATGATACGAGTATTATTGTTACGATTCATGGCATGACTAGGAAATCATAACAATACTTACTTACATTACTTTCCAAGAAATCATACTCATCACTCTCAGTCTCAGAGGTACAGTATGATTCTAAAAAATCACTAAGCTTGTTTTCTTTCCTTGGCACCCGACAAATATTAAACAATACATCATGTAATCTTTGATATGACATCAACGTTTACAATCAAAATAGAAAACATGGAATTTATCATGCATATGCAGACATGCAGTGACATAATCAAGTATTTTTTGAGCTGAAATTCCAACGGAAAAAGAAAATTGCATTAGTAGAGACACGTATAGGAACAGTGTGTGTGTTTAATCCATTTAACGAATATTATCGCCTTAACGAAACCGAAGCGTGAAGCCCTACCGCTCCGGTGGGTGGCGGCGCGGCTGCTTACAGGTGTCGCAGGTACCTTGCTGACCAGTAGATTAAATCTGAACATTATAATCGGTGAAACCTGCCCAAAGAGCGCTAATCCGCTGCGGTAATGCGATTGCACCCTTCTCGCGCTTCTAACGCTGCGATTATCCGTGACGATGAGCAGACATCATCCTGTGTTACGTATATTTTAGCATTTAAATTGAGTTTATTATTATACTGTAATGTAAAGGAAATTAACGCGTTTAGACTTAGACATACATTTTCTTCTTCTTCTTAGTCGGGTACATGGTGACATACCTTTTATTTGCCTGAAATTTCGGTCGGGTTGCAACAAACGCAGTAAAAGACTGAATTTTCCTATAATTTATTTAATCGACATGTTTAAAAGTACCTACTAGGTACTCAGGTTCTATAGATTGATTCCTTGGTTAAACATTGCTACCCATTACGAAATATTAAGGCTTTGAAAAAATCCTTGTAGATTTTCCTCGTGGTGATTTCATCCAGTCATTTGATGAGCCAGAGCCAGACAAATAAATGGCATTTGGGCAGTTTAATAAAGCTAATATCTTGATTTAATATAAATTATGATGATTTCCATAAACGTACTTAAATCCTTATAAATCTTGATGTCTTGTCAGTGTTAAGATAACTCACATTCAGAAGTATAGATTCCTACATTACATACATAATATATTTACAATTTAGATAGCAAATTCTTTAAATCTTTTATCGAAAATATTTATTCTAGCGTTTTGATAAGATAACCCATCTCGCAGTTACGTTATTTCTTATTTTATATTGTGGAAATAACATGGTCGGTCATATATGTACATTGAAAATATTGTGAAATAAGTGACAAGATTTTATTATTTTTTAATACAAATTAAAGGAATTTTGTAAAATGGCATGGACTGGTATTTACAGTGGATACTACGATTATTATAGTGGATTTAACGGTCGTGGATTAATATGTAAATGTGAGTAATAATCTATTATTAATACTTTGATAAAATCCGTTCAGTAAAATAGTTTTTTTATTTCCTCATATGTTTTCCCTATGGATTTGCAAACGTACAAGTTCCTACCTAACTGCTTACTTAGTTACTCATACATAAAAGTGAAGTGATGATTTATTAATTAGGTAACATGACGTTTAGACGGTAAACCTCAAATACGTAAAACAGTGTTTAAATTAATAATATACATAATTACCTACCCAAATAACATGATGCAAATGGGTTTTACACTCAGCAAACAATGCACTTTATATTAAGTAAGTTCTTACTCATAATTCCGAAATTTTCAACATCTCTATGTTCTCAAAGGGGTATCCTTTAAGAAAAATGAAGTTGAGTCCACAGTCAAACTTAATTTATTTAGTTTTGTTGTATTTTTAAGCTAGAGAAAGAAGGAGTCGTAAAAACTGAAAACAAAATACAACGGTAGCTATATTTGATAAATTAACCAAAGGATCTCTATCACTTGAGCATCTTGAATACATAAAATTTATGTAATTAAATGAATGGTTTAAGTACTGAATACTAACTACATCGCACGTCGTAACCTTTCTTAATCAACCGCAGCTGGCCCAGAGTTTGTGGACCAGGTAAACATTTGTATAATTTGCAACCAATGGAGCGCGCGTTACGAACTTGACCCACATCGTTAAGAGTCCATTGTCTTCTGTAGCAGCCTCGGTCGAGGACTCCACACCTCTAAATCGCTCTTAATTATTGCAATAAATATAACAGAAATGCCAGACGACAAATTAATCTTCCGCAAAGGGACCGTTAATTTTCTCTAACCGTCATTTAACTACAATATTCACGTTTTATGACTGTCTTTGATCATTTCCAACAACTGAATTGCGCCTAGCTAAGACTTAATTCAGAGTGCCCACCTTTTACACGTAAACTATTCCGGTTTTCAATCAGTAATTACACATAAAAGCGGCCAAAATTCAACTTTGGCTCTTGTTGAAATAGTTAATCGCAAAGATCATACTACTAGCGCCATCTATTATGTGCTCATGCAATGTAATACTTATTAAAAAATAAATCTGTCACTTTTCTNCTACGAGCGCTGCCTCGTGGCCACGGGCGTGCGCGCGCGCCGCTCCGAGGCGCTGCGGCCGGCGCGCGACTCGGGCCGCGTGCTCACGCTGCGCGCCGCCGCCGACGCCGGCCGCCTGGCGCGCCTGCTCGACCGCCCCGAGACCATGCACGTCGCCATCGTCGGCGGCGGCTTCCTCGCCTCCGAGCTCAGCGCCTCGCTCGCCGAGAGACGTGAGTGACGATGTTCTTGTTCCCGTTCGTCGCTGTTCATCATTGACATATCAGACTACAATTGATCCATGAGTCAGTAGTAATATTTATTATTTTATCTTTCTATGTGCGCTTTATGTTAATCGAATCGTGTGTCGGTCGCAGTGCGCGGCACGGGCGCGCGCGTGACGCAGGTGTTCCGCGAGGCGGCGCCGATGGCGGGCGTGCTGCCGCGCTACCTGGCGCTGGAGGCGGCGCGGCGCCTGCAGCGCGCGGGCGTGGAGCTGCGGCCGGACACGGAGGTGGCGGACAGCGAGGCGCGCGCGGACGGCGTGCGGCTGCGGCTGGCTGACGGCGGCGCGCTGGAGGCGCAGCTGGTGCTGGAGTGCGTGGGCGCGGAGCCGGCCGCGGAGCTGGCGGAGGCGTCGGCGCTGGAGACGCACCCGACGCTGGGCGGGCTGCTGGTGAACGCGGAGCTGCAGGCGCGCGCCGACGTGTGGGCGGCGGGCGACGTGGCGTGCTTCTACGACGTGGCGCTGGGCCGGCGGCGCGTGGAGCACCACGACCACGCCGTGGTGTCGGGCCGCCTGGCGGGGCAGAACATGGCGGCCGCCGGCCCGCCGCAGCCCTACACGCACCAGAGCATGTTCTGGAGCGACCTCGGCCCCGACCTGGGCTACGAGGTGCGTGCACCCCAATTTTGTCAACATGTCAACAAAAATTCAATGTCAACATGTCAACAATTTGCATTTAAGTGTATTTTAATGGTGTCCTTTGTGCCTTCATGTTTAACAGGCGATAGGTATAATAGACTCCCGACTGCCGACGGTGGGCGTGTTCTCCGCTGACGCCGTGAGCGACGCCGCCGCCACCGCCGCCACCACCACCGCCGTCGCCGTCGCCGCCGCGCCCGACGGTGGGCACAAAGATGAGGAAGCGCCTCTTAAGGTTGGTTATCCGTATTTTTATTACTTTGTGAAAAGTTAACCGAATAAACATTACTCATTTTGGCATTCTCAATTTGTCCCATTAAAATAACAGTGTCGTCTCGATTCCCAGGCCGTAGCGGGCGCGACGGACGCGGACGGGCGGCGCTACGATCGCGGCGTGGTGTTCTACCTGCGCGAGCGGCGCGTGGTGGGCGTGCTGCTGTGGAACCTCTTCAACCGCATGCACGTCGCGCGGCAGGTACCGGCTGCGGCGAGGAGGGATGATGTACCACCCGTCTGGCAATCATACATTAAACGTTTACTTGTGACCGCAGGTGCTGGCGCAGGGCGAGTTCGAGGACCTGTTCGAGGCCGCCAAGCTGTTCGCGCTGCACGAGGACGAGTGAGCCCCGCCCCCGCCGCGTCGCCACACACGAACACAATACATTCGCTGCCCACCACGATGCCGTTTTATTTCAAATCCCTTTATCACCTAAATATGCTAGAAAATTCCCCTTCGGCCGAATGAAGAAAAAATTATCGTCGTAGGATACTGGCATCCAAGGTCCATTTGATCACTTCAGACTTTCTGAGCGTGTAGCCTAAAATAATGTGATCTAGAAAGAAACATTGTTTGTTTTTCATTTAAGGCTTGGTATTTCTTCTAAAGTAGGTATTTCGCGCTGTCAAAATCTGCGCGCGCAATTCTTCGCCGAAAACAGCGCGTCAAAGAGCTCCCGCCACAATTTCCAGCTACACAGTATAGAAATACGCAGTTGGTTAGGTTAGGTTGACTTCCTTCCTTTCAAGCGTCACACTCACAACACTTTCTAATAGAAATCATATCCAAGTGATACAAATTAAAACACCTTTNTAGCGCCATCTATTATGTGCTCATGCAATGTAATACTTATTAAAAAATAAATCTGTCACTTTTCTCTTGTCACCGCAAATGTTGTTTCATTCTATTTTTCCTAAATCCAAATTAACTGATATTAGGGCAGTAATATTATAAATAATAGGAACATTCAACAGGTTATGGGCCATTATTGTTCCTCAGATAATAAAATTAGTGTCTTACCGAAACAGTTCCGTGATTCAATTGGATAAAGTTTACCGAACGTCAACAGTGCAACCGCGCCGCGTAGGATTTCTACTTTTTCAGCTTTTTCAGCACAATCAAAAATCATGGCCTCACAAATTTCTATCGGAACTATAGAAAAGCTGGTGGGCCGAGAAAATTACCCTACGTGGAAATTTGCAATAAAAAACTACTTGGAACATGAGGACCTATGGGAAACAATAGAACCGGGTGCCGACTATAAATATGACAGTAAGAAGGATGTAAGAGCCAGGTCCAAAATAATCCTTTTGATAGACCCTATCAACTATGTCCATGTGCAGGAGGCAACTACAGCAAAGCAGGTATGGTCAAAATTAGAGAAAGTGTTTGATGACTCCGGGCTGAGTAGGAAAGTGGGTTTGTTGCGAGATTTAATATCAACAAATTTGGAGAACAGCTCTGGTATTGAGGATTACATAAATAAAATCATGTCAACTGCTCATAAGCTCAGAAATATAAATTTTGTAGTAGGAGACGAGTGGCTCGGTACATTGCTACTTGCTGGCCTCCCCGATGTCTACAAACCGATGATCATGGCTATAGAGAGTTCAGGTGTGTCAATTACTGCTGATTTTGTAAAGACAAAGCTGTTACAGGATGTAAAAGTATCAGATTCTCCAGCCTACTATATTAAGTCAAATAAATCACAAAATATGTCAAAGTCCCATAAAGATTCACCAGATAACTACCAAAAGAGAGGCCCACGTTGTTACAATTGTAATAAATATGGTCATATTAGTAAAAACTGCTACTTTCAAAAGAAGAAGAATCAGACAAATAATTCAAAAAACATATATTATGCGGCTTTTTCTGTTGCAGAGTCCTTGGATAAAACTAGATGGTACATCGACTCGGGAGCATCGCAGCATATGTGTAGAGAGAGAAAATGGATGTATGATGTGTCTCCTTCAACAGTAAGCAGTATAAAGGTAGCAGATAATAAAACCGTGGCAGTAGAAGGGTGTGGTAGTGTGAATTTGCAGATAAGGGACTCCAAAGGCAGACCTCAAACAATTCAAGTAAGAAATGTGCTGTATGTACCTTCCTTGACAACCAATCTTCTCTCTGTAAGTCAGATGACAAAAAATGGATGTGAAGTTATATTTGAGAAAAAATATTGCAGAATTTACCAAAATAAGAGATTGATTTTGTCAGCTTTACAACATAACAATATGTATATGTTGAGAGATATTTCGGAAACATCTGCATTATTGTCAACAGTAAATGAGAATGATATTAATTTGTGGCATCAGAGGATGGGCCATCTCAACTTCACTGACTTACAGAAAATGGGAACGTGTACTGAAGGAGTAGAATTTGATAAAAAAGATTCTCAGATTTGCACAACATGTATTGAAGGTAAAATGACTAGACTGCCTTTTAAGAATATTGGTACTAGAGCATGTGAACCTCTCCAATTAATCCACACTGACCTTTGTGGCCCGATGGAGACCAGCTCTTTAGGAGGTGCCAAGTACTATGTCTCCTTTATAGATGACTATAGTAGAAAAGTATATGTCTATTTTATGAAAAACAAATCTGATACATTAGAGAAGTTTAAGCAATTCAAGAACTTAGTAGAAAATGAGACTGATAAAAGAATAAAAGTATTAAGATCAGACAACGGCAAAGAATATATAAACAAAGAATTTGAATTGTTTTTAGAGAAATTTGGCATTCAACATCAGACCACCAATCCGTACACTCCGGAACAGAACGGATTAGCGGAGCGAATGAATCGCACCCTTGTAGAAAGAGCTAAATGTTTGATCCTGAATTCCAGATTGGAGAAATCATTTTGGGCGGAAGCAGTGTCTACAGCTGCTTACTTAATAAATCGATCACCAACCAAGGCCCTGGACTACATGACGCCATATGAAAAGTGGTCTGGTAAGAAGCCAAACATTAGTAATTTGAGAATTTTTGGATGTGATGCCATGGTACATGTGCCTAAAGAAAAAAGGCAAAAATGGGATTCCAAGGCTATCAGAATGCTGTTCGTTGGCTATTGTGAGTACACAAAAGGATACAGATTTTATGACAATGATAAGAAACAAATATATAAAAGTAGAGATGCAATATTTCTGGAGAATAAAATTAAAAACAACAGCATAATTGTGCCACTATCTGATTTGCAGCAAAATGAATCTGATGACTTATCTGGAAAGGAGACTCACAGCGAACCTTCAACTGATACACCTGACACTCCGATTTCAAGGACCATAATTCATAATGAGAAGACAGAAATGGGGGAGGCTTCTAATGACGATGAGAGCTATCACACTGATGATGCTGATGATGAGTACACACCAGAGAAAAGAATAAGTGATGTGATACCTTCGAAAATGACATTGAGACCTCGGAATAAACAAAATACCTACTTCTGTGAAGACTTGAATGAGCCAAAAGAAGCAACAGCTTTTTTGACTAAAGAACCTGACACTATGGAAGAAGCTCTTTCAGGCCTGAATGCAAACGAGTGGAAAGATGCCATGAATGATGAATTCGAGTCGCTCCTGCAGAACAACACATGGACATTGGTTACTCTACCAGAAGGTAAAAGAGCTATTCCCTGTAAATGGGTCTACAAAATAAAAACTGATGCTAATGGTGAAATTGTGCGCTACAAAGCAAGATTGGTCATCAAAGGATTTATTCAAAAGAAAGGAATTGATTATAATGAGATATTTGCTCCTGTGGTTCGACACACTTCGATCAGATACTTATTAGCATTGGCTGTCAAGAACAATTTATTTATAGAACAAATGGATGCAAAAACCGCCTTCCTGCAAGGTGACATTGACACGGAAATATATATGCTTCAACCACCATCTTTCGAATATGGAGAAGAAGTCTGCAGATTGAATAAATCCATTTATGGGCTAAAGCAGGCAAGCAGACAATGGAATCTGAAACTTACATCTGTGTTAAAAGAACTGGGGTTGAAAAGGAGTAGTTTCAATAACAAACCACAACAGAAACACTGGCAAGCACTTAAGAGAATACTACGTTACATAAAAGGAACTATGGATTATAAATTGATATTTAGTCAAAACAAAGAAGAAAAAAGGGCACTTGGCTACTGCGATTCTGATTGGGCTTCGGATGTTAATAGTCGGAGATCTTGCTCTGGCTACACTTTTATGTTTCAGGGTGCAACAATTTCATGGTGTTCAAAACGCCAAGGCACTGTCGCCTTATCGACTATGGAGGCAGAGTACATGTCTCTTGCTACTGCTACTCAAGAAGCAATGTGGCTTAGATATTTGGAGTCTGAGTTGCACCGTGATGCTGGAACTTCACCAACTGTCATATATTGTGATAATCAAAGCACTATTAAATTTGCAGGTACAGAATCCTACTGTGCCCGCAGCAAGCATATTGATATCAGATATCACTTTGTTCGTGAGAAGGTAGCCAAGAATGAAATAGAAGTCAAATACATTGGCACTGAGAGCATGGTGGCTGACATCCTGACGAAATCTACTTCACATATGAAGATTCAAAAATGCTCAAGTGCTATGGGTTTGCGCTTAAAGGGAGGATGTTGAAATAGTTAATCGCAAAGATCATACTACTAGCGCCATCTATTATGTGCTCATGCAATGTAATACTTATTAAAAAATAAATCTGTCACTTTTCTCTTGTCACCGCAAATGTTGTTTCATTCTATTTTTCCTAAATCCAAATTAACTGATATTAGGGCAGTAATATTATAAATAATAGGAACATTCAACATATTATAAGTGGTTTCTTGTTTAAAATCTTGCTTATCTTAAACTTGTCATACCAAGTAGAATACCTAATAGGGATTAATGTCATAATAATAATTATTATCATCTCGAATATTCTAAAAGTAAAATATAACTTTTACACACACTTTGACTTCGCACTCTTACACTCAATTTTAATCGTAGTTTACTTATTGGTCACCGTATCATACGTGGTTCAAAATAACTCTGAGAGGTACCACATTACCCCATTGCAGCCACTATTCACCTTCTACGGAATCCGATATTTTTTCGCTAAGATTGCAATACTTTACGTATAATATCACAAACTTTATCAAATAAATATAAATTGTTTTTCTAACACACATATTATTATTGTTAGTTTCATCGAAACCCGTGCCAAAATCCAGTCGGCTCGGATTAGCGACGAAACCTTTTAGGCACAAATAAACGCTATAACGCTGTATTTACTGCCAGTAACCCACTCTTTGTAACAATGTGTGACAAAGTCACTTTTATAGAGCTGTGGGGGTCCGATAGTGTGATTTAGAGGAAAAGGGTATAAATAAATAAAGTAAACTTTCAAAGTCGGTCGGTTAGACTTGAGAATGTCAAGTCATATATGGG